AACCAAGATACATCATGTAAAGGTACAAACACCCAATGATAAATGTAAATGTATTGTATACCTAAAATGTACCAATAAAAGAATTTAAGGGAAAATAAAGGTACAAGATCCCAATGATGAAAGTAAATGGACTGTATACCTAAAATGTACCAATAAAGTTAATGGAAAAAAAAGAAACAGAGATAAATAGCAGCAAAGACTCAAATATGTCAAAAACAGTTTTGTGGAGGTTGCAATTTATAGAAAGAAAAATGTGTGTTTAATTATTTTAAGCTTTGCTCTTGTTGGTTTGATTGTACCTAAGTACCCCTTTTAAGAACTCTGTGTTGCTCAATGAACTTTTGGGGGCTATGGCCCTGTCTCTCATCAGTTTATCCTTCCCTGGTCTCAACACTCCTCTCTGGTCTAACTGATTCTTTCAGTCAAAGGCTATGACTCTCATTTCTGAGATTAATATTAAACATGAGGTTTTCTGCAGGACTTACAGAAACATTTAAATTGGTTAATAACAAAACACCAGATGAATCTGCCGTCTCAGGGTGTTCCCACCTAGTTTATGACATCCGTTATTCCCGGCTTTATGTTATATTATACACATTTATATTTCCCAAATATATAGCCCTTAAAAGATATAAAATAAGAAATATCTCATCACATTAGTGAGTTCCAGACCAAAATGATTCATGATGCTAAACATTTACACTAAAATACCTGACTTTCCCTTACTTATGTTCCAGTATCATCATGATTGTTATACTAATATGTTATGTTTTCCTTGATCTCAAATTTTCTCTATGAAGCTTTAAAATTGTTATCTGCTCTCATTCTACAGAGACTCAACTTCTAAGACAACCATGATTGATAACAAATAACAATTCCCAAAATGAACCCTCAACATTGTCACTGATTCAGCTTATGTTGTGAAAACCCTTCAGGTTATTGAAATCACTCTTATTCATAATAGTAGTGATAAAATTACCTTCCACATGTTTAGACACCTGCAAAAATTGATTAGACACCACACCGAAACTTTTGTTTGGTACTAGGGATCAGTGAAAATTTTTCTGTTACTCACATGCAATCTCATTCTAATCTTCCTGTCCCCTATATATATGTACATAATATATAATATATTTTATTCAGCTATAAAAAAGACCAAAATCATGTCATTTTCAGGAAAATATGTAGAATTGGAGACCATCATGTGAGGTGACATAAGCCAGCCTAAGGTATCAATAGCTGGGCATGGTGACGCACACCTGCAATTCCAGCACTCATGAGGCAAGGCAGGAGGATTAACTCAAGTTCAATGCCAGCCTGGGCTACATAGTGAGTTCAAAGACAGCCTGAACTCCATAGTGAGACCCTGTCTCAAAAACAAACAAATATCCAGACATGGTGGTACACGCCTGTGATCCCAGCACTTGGGAGGCTGAGGCAGGAGGATCGCCACAAGTTCGAGGCTAGTGTGGGCTACATAGTGAGTTCAAGGCCAGCCTGAACTGCATAGTGAGGCTCTGTCTCAACAAAACAAAACAAAACAACAAGGAAAGAGAAGGAGGAGAAGGAGAAAGAGAAACAAGTGTCATGTTTTCTCTCATACATAGAATCCAGGGTAAAAAGAATGAGATTGTGTGAAAGTAGAAGGGGACTATGAGGGAAGTACAAAGAGGCAAGGAGGAGGGAAAGAGAA